ACTTAAAAACAAGATGAGACACTTTTCCATATCACTTCATCAAATCCACCAACTTCTTAGTTTCACATTAATCATAAACAACTTGTTGGATATGATAATTAATTTCATTTCCATTTTCAATATATTCCTTTTCCCACTTCTATTTATTGTTAAGCAGAGAGATTTATTAATCTTAATCAAGAAATTAAAATGTGCTTCCAATTTTGATATGAACAAAAGTGTGTTTTATGTTTTATATCATCAAATATACTTTACTAATAACCCTGTTCAAGTAAGGTCGTTACGTCAAAAAAAAATACTTTACTAATAACCCAAAAACTTGTGATATGTTAACAAACAAACATGAAAAAGAATTTAAACTTGAGTCACTCTTTATCTTGTTTCTTCTTCCATCTCTGGGAGATTTCAGTTTCATGGTTGATTGATTCAATATTTCTCCATTAATTTATTTCCTGCAAAAAAAAACAAAAAACATGATGAGCATATACATCTTTGTTTCAACTTAAGATTCTTATTTGGATTATAGAAGATGATCTTTTGTTTGTTTTACCAGGGAAACTTAAATGTGTCTTTCCACCATCCCTGCTTAGAACAGTTTGCAACTATTTTGTCGAGTCGAATAATAATCTCAGAGAATATCGGCCTCATACCGATTTCTGGATGCCAACATTCTTCAATCAACCTACACATATATCGCGATTCTTGAGTTGTTAATGTTAAGCAAAAACACCACTAAACAAATGTAATAATCAGTCAGCCTGATGATAATGAAGCTTCACACAACAATGGCTTTAGAACAAAATCTTGAAATGCTTACTCTTTCAATTCCGGAGGGTAACTCTTCGATTTCGTCTTGATTATTGGTCTCTTTCCTTCTAGGCATATAGATTCTGCAACCTCTTCATGCGGTTTAGGATGTAATACAGATACTCCCTCGGTCAACTTCACATATAAAACCGAAAAGAAAATGAGAAATTTTACTATCAAGAAGGTGAAAGCTTTGTGTGTTACTACCTCATACAAAATGACACCAAACGAATGCACATCGACCCTTTTATCGAAGATTTCGTCTTTGTAAATTTCAGGTGCTACATAGTAATCTGCAGTTTGAAAGATAAGCATAACATCTTTCAAGAATAATGCTTGTTGTATATATATGAATCTGTTTCTAAGTTAACAAAAATGCAGCTTTCTCTTACTTGATTTATCGACATGAGCTTCGTGGTTCACTATTTTTGCATTATTTTCAGAAATCTTCGACAACTTTATCAAACCAAATCCAGAGATCTTTAATTGTCCACCTCTATCCAGCAAAATATTTCTGGCACCTTACAAAAAATCTTTCAAAATATTATCCAAACTGCTTTTTTTAGCCATTTTCTAATGTGTCCTCGGCTTGTCTTACTTTGGCTTTAAATCGCAGTGGATGATCGGATCTGGTTTACATTCATGAAGATAGTTCATGCCTCTGGCAATATCAAGAGCAAATCTCAGAGCTTTTGAAGGCGAAAGACGACCTTTCTTTTGAAGATAGCCACTTAGATCACCCTGAAAAAAATTGAGATGATTAATGAAACAAGATTGCTACTTTTGTCATTCGATATTCAAGTAAACGACAATGCTTGCTTACTTTTGGATTATACTCAACTACAATCATCATAGGTAGATTTTGAGTAACAGCTCCAACAAATTGAACAATATTCGGATGCCGAGCTTTTGCTAGCAAAGTCAATTCCTGTGTGAAAGCATGTCTGCTCGTATAAAGAAACCAATGTTTAGATTTTTTCATGTTACCAAAAAATTAGACCAAGAAAATTT